GTCTTTTCCAACCTAAACGATTCTATGATTCTATGATTGGATGTTTTGGGTTAATTTATTCTTAGTCCCAGTGCCTTTTTTTTTTAAATTATAGTTCTTCTCTTCAGCATTCAACTTGTTCTCTTCATGCTTGCAGAAGACTGATTCTTCCACTGGAGTTCCCCAATGACCTGCCTTTCTGGGGGCCTAGAATCCTTTTGGACAAGATCTCCATTTTAAGCCTTTAGTGTTTTCAGCAATACAAAAAGTTTGTGCTCAGACTCATTCAGGGGATCAGGTTTTCTCCCTGTGCTCTGCTCCATATCAAGGATGACTTCTGCTAACACTTACACTGAGAAATGAGCTGTGAAGCTTGAAGGCACCATGTGTCCTTTATTGCCTCTTCCACTGACCTTGAAGCTCCTTCCCTGGTAAATGTCTAACATGAGGGCTGGACCATCTGCTCCATGTTCCCCAGGAAGCTGGCAATTTGAGGCAGTGATAAAACAGAGAGGTGTTTGGAGAGGGAAAATTCCCTGCATGCTTCTAGGTAGGAACTGGGCAAAGGGAGGGGAAAAAAAACATCCTTTTAAAGCTCAGACAGCTTGGGAACTGAGTATCTACTGAAAGAGAGGAGGGCTGGAGTGTGGTGCCTGTGGGAGTGATGGCTGAAGAAGCCAGACCAAGCTCTTCCTGGGGAAAGGTAAGGGGCAGGTGAGAGTGGCAGCTCTCCCTTGCAAGGAGCATGTAACATGTGGGACGTGCAACCTTCTTCTTGTTCAGCAGACAGCCTGTGCTAGGCTTTGCTGTGGGTAAAAGGACTGTAGGAGCATGAAGGCACGCTGAAAAAAGGGAACAAACTGCCCAGGGAAAGAAATGCAAGACTGACAGACTACAGGACCAAAACCAAGACAGCTTACTGCCTCTCCTCCATCTTCTCATGTACAAAGTCTTCCTACCGAGCACTTGGGGAGGCTGCCCAGAAGATGTCATCTTGCTGACAGGGGCCTGTCACACAACAGTACTTTTTGGTCTCACTATGTGTGCAGTCCTCTCATGCAAAGCACAGGAGATCTGACTGCCCTGCATTAATTTCAATGGTATCGTATAGACAGTCCTACCTAATTTAAAATCTAGTCTTGATTTATGGTTTTCTATGCATAGAGTATCAACCATAGCCCTGGTATGCATTTTCGGGACTTCTATTACCTTCAGAATTAAACATGCTGAGCTTTATTCTTTTTGTACAAGCTTGTAATTATAATCGCATCAGCTTGCACCAAAGCTATCACTTACCATAGCATGTGGATGAATTCTCTGCTGAATAAAATCACTCACGCTGGACAAAACATTTCATGTCAAGATGCTGTCAGGTATATGATGTAGAAGTTCTGGCAGCGTTTTGTTGCTAGCCGCATCAAGTCTCTGGTGTATCACTTGGATCTGGTCTAGCCGCCCATGATAAAGTGGGTGTTTGTCCAGTTCATCACAAGGGAGTGCTTAAAGAGCCAGTGATACTGCAGTCTCCTATTATGTGGGAGGCCATAGTAGACACAACTAGTTTCAAGCTTTATTTGTTTGAGTGCTGATGTCTTAAAACCCTTTCAGTATCGCCTTCCCTGTGCTCCGTGATTTGGATGCGAGTAATGCTGTCTTTCCCTTTATTCCTTCTACGTAAGCTATCAATGCAGATTTACCGTTTCCAGGCAGGATACGTTTCTTACTCTTTTTTCCACTTGCCCCAACAGAGATTCATCAAGTAGGATTTTATTTGCAATAAATAAAATCTTTTGCACAGGTATAGAATTGATAAATGCAGGCACAAGCGCAGGCTTGTTCACTTGGGCTCACCCTAGAGCCCTGCATTATCCTGACTAAAGCAACCCTGGTGCAGTTCTGGTGCTCTTCCTTGTTGTCAAGTGCAGGGCTCAAGCTCAGCTGGGCAAGTCATCAACAGCCTGTAAAGGCTGCATGGCTGCTTCTGTTACCGCCTTTGGCTGTGCCAGGCAGCCCTGCACAGGGCTCTGTGTGTCACCTGCAGCACAGCATTGCCACGTTCTGCAGCGGTGGTCCAGGTGGGCGTCACTGGCACGGCACCTAGCAAGTGACTCCACTCACAGGTACGATACTTGCAGTTACTTTGGTCATCAAATTATGTTTAATCCTGAGTTCCCCCCTTTTTTTTTTTTTGCTATAACTGGATGTTCCTTCTGTTTATGTCTAGGACCCAGGGACTGCAGGGATCTAGCTTTGACCTCTAAGAAGAAACCTCGAGCCTCTTGCCACTGCCACCTACTGTTGCAGCATCCTTAAACACCAGGAAGAACTTTTGGGTTGTGCTTGAGTATCTTGCTGGGTAGGACAGCAGGGAGAAAAGATGGTTCGCTGGTTGAGGTCTTTCAGCGATAGCCAGAGCTAGACTCCATGCTCTCTTAATGTTGGGCAAGTCTTTGAACCTGTGCCTCATTTTCCTCAACTGTAAGTAGTGTGTGTGTGTGGGGGAAATCCCCGTGCTGGCTGCTATGGAAAAACTTCTTTGTAAAGTGAATCTACCTGTGCGGATTGCTGTGTGGCCGCAAGGAACATTTTTCTTTGTTCAGCCTGAAGGAATGCCTGCAGCCTCTGCACCCCTGTGCCCTCGGTAGGACAGGCTGTAGCTCATCAATACCCTGCTCAGCTGCAGAAGACACTTGTTTGATTTCAAATACTCTTCTCCCTCGATGACAAATGCATTTGATTAGAAGGTGCAGAACTTAGGGTAGAGCCCGAGAAACTGAAGAGGTTTACCTGTGTGTTCTGTCAGGCTGATCCATGCTAAAAATAGCGGATAAAGGACAAGGTGGTGAGAGAATAACTGCCCTCACACTTCCCTGGGTAGCCTGACACGAAGGAGCAGGTACATATTTATTTTATAGAAGATATGAAGGCACGCAAAGATCACAGCCCAAATTCCAAAGGTCGTCTTTTCCCCTCTATCCCAAAGATGGTTTCCATTGGCTGTCTTAACCAGGTCCTGCCTTAACACGCTGGTTTGTGTGCGTGCCCCAGCAAGGTGCCCGTTGTGAGACCAAGCGAACACATGGTCGGAGAAGCCTTTCAGATTCACACAAGAAGCCCTTCTAGCCCCGACTCCCAACAGTGACTAACAACAGATAGTAAGTAAAAACGCACAGGAACAGGGTGAGCACAAAATGATACGTTCCCACAGCACTCTTCTAACTTCCAGCAACTTCTGCCTCTCAAATTTCCTAAGGCAGAGGTGGTGTCTTTACAACCTGAAAGTGCTTCAGTTACCAGTATGGGTACAATTTGTTCCTTGCATGCAGCGACACAACACTCTTCTGCACAGAGTCTGGGGCTTAAGTAGGTGCATTAGAAATGAAGTAAGGCCTCAAATATAGAAAGGTAATAATGTCTGCCTTGTAGCGAGAGTGAACCAACTAAGGTCTCCTTGTCACCAGCCACCATGTAAATGGTGCGTATTCATTCTACGCCTCCAAAAAAAATCACAGCAGATAATTTTAAGCCTGTTTCTGCACGTCCGCAGTTTCAGACTGACAGGATCCTGTGCCATCAGGTTCCCATATCCTTCTGCAGGACCCGACCTACAAGCTTGCAGCAGCAGCTCCAATAATTCTCTATTCAAATGACCCCAACTGCAGCTGTTCTGGGTGGGGGATGTGGAAGACCCCTAAGCAAGGAAGAGGAAAGATGCTGCCAGGAAATCTGCCACTAGAAGCCTTGAACTTGAAAAAGCCTACAGGAAAACTACGAGCTGCTGCCAGCCTCTCAGGATGGTCCCCTCCACCCAACTCAACTCTGCCGTGGGATCCCAAAGGAGCTCAGACACAAGGCTCCCATACAGTATTTGAAATTCTTTGATGAAAACATGGCCCTTCTCCACAGAGTCATCAGGGAAGAATCTGGAGTGGACACGGACTCCAGGGCTCTTCTTGTGATGAAGAGACAACACTGAACGCTAAAACACTTCACCTACCTGTACCTGATAAAGTGAGATCTATTAAATGCTCACACACTTACAAAAGTTTTTATTGCACGTTCTAGAGTTAATTTACAATAAAATAAAGTAACATCTTAGGAATACATGTGCCAACAGATGTATAAACAATTTAATTGCTTTTAAACAGCTCTTTTCATCTACTGGCTCCTTCCCAAAAGTCTTAAAAATAATTAAAAAGAACACTGCATAGGAATATCTTTCTTTAGTATTTTGGCTTGTTGGAAAAAGGGCTCTGTGCTTGGAAGAACAACTCGGGAGACCAGCCGATTGCCCCTCCCAATATACCCCCTGAGTAACTTGCACTTGAGAGGCAATTCTTGCCTTCTGAAGGGAAACAAGTTTCCAGGATCGTATTGTTTAAAAACAAGGCCTTGGTGCCACCTGCAGCTACAGGAGTTGTTAGAATCCTGGATGCCTCCCCAGGGTTTAATCTCGCACTTCTGAAGCATACATCATTTTTACTGTTCTCTCTGCTTTCAGAAATAGGGCTCCTGCCAGTGTGCCCACTGGTCGATTGCAAGTGGGTAGCCCAGCTAACTGGTTTGGAGTTTAAAGATGCAGTTGGTTTCAACCTTTTGTTTGCAGATGGAGGGATCCACTCCTCAAAGGTGGCAGGCAGTTGGCTGTTAAGGAGCAGCTGTGAAACAGAGCTATTACTTTCCTTGTCTTCCCTGTTATTTGGCCTTTCACCTTTCACTAACCTGCCGGTAAGCTGCTGCAACAGAGTGTTTTGAAAGGAAGACCTGGATCGCTTGCATTTGGAATGGATTTTAGCGGGATTTTTAGGGGTGAAGATAGTGACAGAAGAGCTTCTTT